TAAGCTAACCAGCCAGCCCCTCTGTTTGTTTATTTTTTTGAGGGGCTGTCTTTTTCTTAATGATTTTTAAGAGTTCTTTATGTATTTAGGAATTTTTGTGGGTAATGTATCTTTTTGTGGCTTGTCTTTTCACTTTAGGACATTTGACATACAAAGATTAAAATTTAGGTCTTAATAGAATCTTTTGATATTTTCCTTTATAGTGTGTGCTTTTTGTGTCTTGTTTAATGAAATCCTTCACTTTTCTAAGGTCAGAAAGATATTCTCTTCTAAGTATCTGGCTTTTTTACAATTATTCTTTAATTTACCTAGAATTTATTTGTTAATATGGCATGAGATACGGATATAATTCCCCCACCCTACCCCCATGAACTGCCAGTTGCCTGGGACTGTTTTATCAGTCCTCCTTTTCTCACTGATTTGTAATGACATCATTATGCTGAGTTTTCATAGATTTATGGGGTGATATTGTTTAGTTCTGTAATTACAGTTAATTTTTAGTTTCATTATATCTTTTCCATATTTAGTTCAGTACCTTTAGGTTTTTAATTCTTTTTATTTGTTCATTTGTTCAACCATTCGGTTAGGAAATTCTTAGTGAGTGCCTGTTATGTGCCTGAGATACAGCTATAAATAAGACAAAGTAACTGCCTCATAGAGCTAAATTCCTAGTGGAGGAAAGATACATAAATGCTATCCAGTAGGTTGATATAAGTGCTATGTAGGCATATTTATGAGGGAATATGTACGTAGGAAATATGTGTTGTGCAGGGATTTCAGATCTAGTTTTCTGTTTAGTACAAGTTGAAGTCCTTAAATCCTGGATTACAGAGATAAGGGCTTCCCACAAAACCAGCAAAAACTGGACTTTTGCCATATGCTTTTTTTCTACTTTGGGTTTTAGCTTACTCCTAATCTCTGGCCATTGGGATTTCCTACTCTTGGAAGTGCAGGTATGCATGTAAAAGGATGATATATTTTATCTAACATTTCTAGGTGTTTGAAGCAGAAGGGTTTCAGATTATCAGTTATGTTACTGGACCCAAAAGCCTTAGGTTAGATTCTGCTTTACTCTGCACTGAAACCATTAGTGTCTTGGGAAGTGCTGATGTTGATATCAGTTGACTAAAAGAGATTTGGTTTAGCAGAAATTGCAGAATCTTCCTGGAACTTGGGGAAGAAATATCTTTAGTTTGAAAGGCTCTTGTAGATTTTCCCATTTTGTTATTGGTGGTTGGGAATAGGGAGTTAGAGGCCAGTGCTCAAGTTTTCCTAAATTAGATGTTCTTTTACTAATGGAGCATCTTTACTCATGTTTTTAGAAATGAATGTAATTGTTTCAATACTTCATCAAATTCATTTTTACTGTGTATCTATGTAAGCTAAATTTGATATACTGATATGTTTAATATACTGAGCCACTCTTGTATTCCTGGAGTAGATGCTGCTTGGTCATCTCCTTAGTACGTTTGAGAATTCCATTTGCTAATATTTTGAGTAAAAATTTCTGTAATGAATCTTGTTTGCTTCATAGACTGATTTTAGGTAGCTCATTTTTTTCTGTGATTAGAAATAATTTATGAAAAATAATTATTTATAATTAAAGTGTGAAGAAATAAATATTCCTCCCCTCAGGTTCAAATGATCCCTTGGGGGCTCTGTATAAGTGATCCAAATTTATTTCCCACTTGTTGTTAAGGTGTCTGATTTTTTTTTCTTATCCAACTTCTAGCAATTTTTATATTAATATTTCACAGAACCATGTTTGAATAAATTATTATTTAGAAAAGGAACTTTTTGGACCTTATTAAATCTATAAAATTTTCTTATATTGGCAGTATGCTAAATCTTTTCTTATGGAGCCACTTTATTAGTTTCTAAAAGTTCTATTATAGTGTGTGTTCATTTCTCCCTTGGTCCTATTTTTAGAAAGTTTGTTTTTCAAATAACTAATTCTTTTTTTTCTTGGCAACTGGCCGGTACAGGGATCAAAACCCTGGACCTTGGTGTTATCAATGCCACACTCTAACCAACTGAGCGAACTGGCCAGCTTTATTTCCGTTGTTATTGTGGTCAGAATGTGCTATGAATTTAGAATGTATTTTAAAAACACTTCTTAATGAAAAAATACTATAACTAAACTTGCACCATATTAATTTTGCTTTTCTAAAAAGCTGTACTGCCGTTTCTTCTACTCTAGTTAATTGTCATTACTGATAAAGGGGTACTAATGGGCCGGCCCAGTGGCGCACTGCTACAGTGCGCCGCTTGGGAGCGCGGTGGCGCTCCCGCCGAGGGTTCAGATCCCACATACAGACCGGTTCCCGCTCACTGGCTGAGCGAGGTGTGGGCGCAGCACCGAGGGTTGCGATCCCGTTGTCGGTCCTGGTCCGGTACGGGCGTGACACTGAGGGTTGCGATCCGTTGCCAGACACGAAAAAAAACAAAAAGGAAAAAAAAAAGAAAAGGGGTAATAATTTCCCACTAGAATTGCTTATCACTTTATTCTTGTACTTTTTTGAAGTTATGCTATTGAACATGTTTTCTAACTGTAAAATGTAAAAAGAGCACTTTTTTAAAAATATAGAAACAGTTTAAGAGAATTAATGTAAACCCCAGAAATAAGATTTAGCAGTCATTTTTGGAACATATAGTGTCCAGAATTGAAATAATCATACATTATGTTCTGGGATATTTTTGGTGTAGAGTGAACATTTTTCCTTATTTTTTAAATGTTCTCAGATAACATGAATTTTAATGGCTGTATGGTATTCTGAATCTTCACAAATTTGTTACAAATTACTTACCTCTTGGGCTTGTTTATACTTGAAGGGGCAGAGATTTGTCTCATTCTTTTCATTTTTAAGTGTGCCTTTCTCTTTATTATATAATCATTTATCTCAATACTGTGAATACTAAACTGCTGCTTGATTTTATAAGATTTTGTTCAGCTTTTTAAAGTGTTCATAATTAAGATACTGTGGTAGTATTCCCTTTTAATAGAGAAATACAGTATCTTTACATGTGGTATTTAGTTGGTGCCATCTTATGTGCTGCTTTTGTGTATGGGTTATATTTATCTGTAAGTTAATAAATTTTATATTTATAAAAATTTTCATGTTATATTTCTTTGAAAAAGAATTTGTAGGGCAGTCTATTTAAAACTACTCCTAATTTGATTTTTAAAAGATTATTATTGGTCTCTCATAAATAGCTAAGCAAAAGCAAATAACTTTAGATTTCTGGGGCCGGCCCGGTGGTGCACTGGAGAGTGCGCCGCTTGAGAGTGTGGCGGCACTCCCACCGAGGGTTAGGATCCCATGTGGAGACCGGTTCCTGCTCACTGGCTGAGCGCGGTGCAGGCGCAACACCAAGGGTTGCGATCCCGTTGCCGGTCAGTAAAAAAGACAAAAAGGAAAAAAAAAAACTTTAGATTTCTACTTGAAGTTTTCTTTCACTTTCACCCTCTGATGTTATTCTAACAGCTATCCTCACCCACTACATTATGTTATTTAAACTATTTATTTATTTATTTTAAAGATGACTGGTAAGGGGATCTTAACCCTTGGCTTGGTGTTGTCAGCACCATGTTCAGCCAGTGAGCTAACGCCATCCCTACATAGGGATCTGAACCCATGGCCTTGGTGTTATCACCACCACACTCTCCCGACTGAGCCACGGGCTGGTCCTTAAACTATCTCTTTAACAATTGGTCATACTGTTATTTAGTAACACAGTCTTGTTTAAATTCCATGTGCCATTTCCAAATTTTTTGAAAACTGTGAAGATCTGGAATGAGAATGGTTTGATATGAATGATAGTTGCTGGTAAATAAGCCCAACTAAACATATTCAGTTGGGTGTCTAATAGTTTTGTTATATAAGACTGCCTGAGGTAACCTCTTTTTCTAGTCCTTTATGTGAACATTCAATTTTCACTGAGTTGTTTGCAGACTTTCCACTTAACTTGCTCATTGCCATTTCTACATTATTTGTATCATATTTCAGAAGTCTTTACTTGTGCAAATTGGTATTGTTACTGTTCTCTAGACCTGTGTTCTCCAATTCTTTTCAATGTGGCTTTGGGTGTTTTAAGTTTGTTCTTTTTCAGACATTGGGTAGTTAATTCTGTAATGTGTCAAGAGGTGCTATATCATTGCAACCTTTATTATTATTCTTTGACTAATGGATTAACTGTTCTTTAAATTTGGCCTGTGACTTCCCATTTCAAGATTCTGGGTGAGGGCCGGCCCGGTGGCACACTGGATAAGTGCGCCGCTTGGGAAGCGCGGCGGCGCTCCCGCCCGAGGGTTCAGATCCCACATACAGACCGGTTCCCGCTCACTGGCTGAGCGAGGCGCGGGAGCAACGCCGAGGGTTGCAATCCCGTTGCCGGTCCCCAGTCCGGTACGGGGGCAACACTGAGGGTTGCGATCCGTTGCCGGACACGGAAAAAGACAAAAGACAAAAAAAAAAAAAAACCAAGGGTTACAATCCCCTTACTGGTCAAGAAAAAGACAAAAAAAAAAAAAAAAAAGATTCTGGGGGATCTCTGGTTTTTTTTTTTTTTTTTTTTTTTGGTGGCTGGCTGGTACTGGAAACCAAACCCTTGACCTTGGTGTTATAAGGCTGCACTCTAACTGAGCTAACTGGACAGCCTCTGGTTTCTTACTGCATTGCTTTTACCACATGTCAAAGGTTTCTCATTGGCCCTAGACTTTGTGTTGTTAACTCTTATCTTCATCTCTTTCTGCTGAATACTATTGGTGTCAAACTAGAAATAATATTTCACATTTTAATTGATGTTTAGACTCTTAATTGGCTTAAAATGTGGGGGAAAGTTCCATTTTTCCACCTGTCTGAAATGTCATTTACTAAGTGACATGAAACATTTAGTGGGTCCCATACTGTTCGAGTATCTGTGGGTCCTGGTAAGAAAAATGACTGCCTCTCTTCCTATGGTGTATTTGTTACATCCCAGCAATGTTCTTTCCTTCTTAGTGGAAGAGAAAGCCAGTACCCACCTCCTCTTGGGCATGTGCTTAGATGCTTGTGCTCGCTACCTTCTGTTCTCCAAGCAGCCATCACAGGCACAGAGGATGTATGAGAAAGCTCTGAAGATTTCTGAAGAAATACAAGGAGAAAGACACCCACAGGTAAGGGAGGAAAACATACAGAAGGACTAATAAACAAAGGCTTCAAAATTGATGGGGGTGAAATGGCACATTCATTATGAACAGAATCAGCAGATGGTCCTAGAGTTCTCCTCTTCCTCCTCAGTCCATTCATTTTCTTGCCACCAGTCCCGACTCCCTCTCCCCCATCCCTTGCCCCAACTACTTGTTTCAAAAAGGACTTGAGACTGCTGTTCAGTTACTGGGTCTGCCCAGAACCTTCTGCATGAGTCATGGTTTGCACAGCAGACCAGGCTTTCTCCATGGCAGGCCTAACCAGGCACCCTTGTGCTTCCTTGGCTTCAGAGTACAAAACACAGTATTTCAGAGTGGGGTCTGCAGACTCCCCTCTAGCCCCCGTTAGAATCCTATAAGGAACAGGTTAATATATGAATATCATTGCCTCTCTTGCTCCACTGTTAGGATGTCAGGGGATGTGGGGAAAGAAGAAAGTGAAAAAGCTTTTGACCACTGACATACTATAGAATTTAAGCACAACATGCAAAACTTTGTGTTAGAACACTAAACGTACTAATTGGATTGCTTTGTCTATGAATGCTTGCTACCTCCAACATAAGGCACAAATTTTAACTGGATTACATGTGTCCCAAGGCTAGGGTAGGTGGGTAGGGTGAGTAATATGTTTTGGAAGAAAGAGGAAGTTGAGCTATGAATTATCTCCAGGAAAGAGACTTAGGACTTATTACAGAGAGTACTTAAAGGAATATCATGGAGGATGAATACTTACATGTGTCCCAAGGCTAGGGTAGGTGGGTAGGGTGAGTAATATGTTTTGGAAGAAAGAGGAAGTTGAGCTATGAATTATCTTCAGGAAAGAGACTTAGGACTTATTACAGAGAGTACTTAAAGGAATATCATGGAGGATGAATAGAAGGCAAGTATGAAATTCAAATCACCAAGTACTAGAGTCAGGGAGTTAAAGCACAGCAAGCCTGCCTCTCTTAGTACCAAAATTTTCAAATCTCTTAATGAGAACCTTCCTAAAGTAGATGACATATTTCTTCTTTTTGATGACCCTCAGGGTTACCAGCAGGAATGACATTATACTACAGTAGGCTCCAGAGGAAATCAAACCACAGGAGGCTAGCTTCTCAAAATTGCTGAACCTTAAATGAGATCATTTTGTAGCTGTGATTTTTCATTTGGTGCTTCTAATTTCATAATTAGTTGGAGTAATAAATATCCATACTGTTCCCTAATTTCTAGATTTGTTCATTTTCCAGAGGGCTAAACTAATTTTGTCTACTCTACAGTATTAATAACTAATGCCCACAGTTTGTTAAAGGCTGGTATCCCTCACCTTCTTGTGGAATGCTAGAGAAGATGAAATCTTAAATATGTATTCACAGTTTAACAGACTCCAAATTAAAGTTTCGTGTGTAGGGGTGCTTTTAAAGAAAAAGCTGTCTGGTTTTTCTGTTTATAGACCATTGTGCTGATGAGTGACCTGGCTACTACCCTGGATGCACAGGGCCACTTTGATGAGGCCTATATTTATATGAAAAGGGCATCAGACCTGGCAAGACAGATAAATCATCCTGAGCTGCACATGGTGCTCAGTAACCTAGCTGCAATTTTGATGCACAGAGGTGGGTAGCAATGGAAACTTGACTGACTTGCTTCAGGAAGGAATGTCACTGGATTTATAAATTTGTGAAGTGGTGTTTAGGGAGGGCAAGGGGCAGTGAGGAAACTCCTAAAAGGGCAGAGAAGGATGTGTGTCAGGTTGGAGTACTGTTGTACTCAATTCACATAACTCCTGTAGTCCTGCACTAGCCTGTTTATTAACACACCAAGCTAGAGAAAATTCTGCAGTGATAGTACCTTATTTCTGTAGTGCTTTACAGATTTCTAAATGTTTCTGCAGTTACAATTTGTTTCTCACAAGGTGCTGGTGAAGCTGGTGTAACAGAATATCATCATTGTGACAGACATTTCTGAGTGTCAGCACACCATGCCATAGTGCTTGGGGCTTCACTTATAATTTTCAGAAAGCTGGGGTGACAGCTCTCTCTTACATGTCCTACCATCAGTGAAATCCTTGGCTAATCGAGCGAGGCCCCAGGGTACACTGGACAGGGCATGGTGAGGAACCCACAGCTCGCAGTGGATTAGAGTTCTGTGTCTGGCCAGGTTCTGGCCCCCCTAAGCCAGCTTGTCAAGTGAAGATGAGATGAGGCAGCACCAGCCTCGGACCTGCATCCTCATTAGAGCTTTCTCTTCAGGACCACTTTGAAAACACACATTTTCTTCTTCTCCCTTCTCTCTGGGTTATTTTAGAACGATATACACAAGCAAAAGAGATCTACCAGGAAGCACTGAAGCAAGCAGAACTGAAAAGAGATGAGGTTTCTGTACAACACATCAGGGAAGAGCTGGCTGAGCTGTCAAGAAAAAGTAGACCTCTGGCTTAATTTTATCAAGCACTAAATCCATTTTTGTTGTAGGGAGAATAATTTCCATTAACCCAGAGGAATATCAATGGCTTAAATCCTTTGTTCTTGATATTCAGGTTTCTTCAACTTAGCCTTGGTGAAGGACAAGTTGTATACACTGCCACTTTTGTTTTTAAAGGAAAAACAATTTTCACCCTCTACTGATTACAACCTCCAAGGACTGATGTCAACTGATGCTTTCAGTGGTAACATGATTAGGTGCTGTTCATGCTGGTCTAAATGTACTTATCATTAACATGGGCCAGTTCTCCTCTGGGGTGTGGGTGTGTGGGTGTGTGGTAATTCAGCTGGCATCTCTACCGAATGACTGTGGTCCACTGATTTGCTGCCCTGTCTTCTTTTTGTCAATATCTGGCAGTCCAGAGTACCTGTCTCATGGCAAAGGGGGACTGTGGTGAGTCGTTTTTCTTATATAATCTTATTTCATGAAGCACAGTGTGGGATTTAATGCATAAAGGAGGAAAAGTGGTATCTTAGTTTGCCACCAGCATCCAGAGTGAAATTTTAAAGTGGGAATTAGGGACCTGAAAGTGTAGCAACCATTTGATTATAAACAAAAGTGAACCATATGTATCTGGTTGTATACTTGTGTAACTATTAAAAAACGTGAGTTGGGGGGAAGGAATGATATAACCTCTTGTTCGTCAGTGCTGTGTGAGCACTCGACTTCTTTTGCAATCTCTGCCACACAACTGAGTCACCTGAGGTATTCTTTTTTAAAAGAGAGTCATTCCTGGGCTGCACCCCAGACCTTCTGACTCAGAATAGGGCACTGAGTGTCGTATTTTAAAACTTCCAGGAATGTGTACTGCTGGTATAGTAGAACGACTGACCTGGATTCCAGTCCTTGCTTTTTGATTTTGGGATCTCAATGTCCTCATCTGTGAAGTGAGGAACAAATAAGATTCTTTCTTATGGAAAAGGTATTTGATCAGATGACTTTAAATGAATAGACTGCTGTGATGAAAGAGCTTTATCACACTGCCTCAAAGTATATAAATACAAGATACATAAATGGGTGTTCTTGCCTCAGCAGTCCTACAAAATAGCTATTTACTTATGGGAAAAAGACAGTTTTTGTAGGTACCACGAAGGAACACTGATATTGGTGGTATGCCTGTGGGGGTGAAGTACTGATATACTGATATTTTTGGCTCATATGTACTTACTGGAAGAATCTTTTCATAATAAAATAGAGGCTATACAACAGTACTGTATGTATTCCAGTAATCTTTGAGTTTCTTATAAAAAATAACTTACTGAAGAGTTAATAAAAATAAAATACTAGAAACTTGAGGTCCAAATCCTCAGGATTAGACTAAATCTAGAATTTTGTATTTTGCAGATGTAAATTTCTTCTTCCTAACTAAGCTCTTCTGTTACTTATCACCCAGCTAATTTTTAATCAAGTCTAACTCAAAGTTATAATATAAATCAGATTGAGTTTCAATACAACCTAGTCTTAATTTATTTTTATTTTTTAAATTAATGTCAACCACTCACCTTCCACATTGTTTTCATCTTTTCACAATTGTAGGGACTACTGAAGTTAGATTTTTCACTCCAAGTTAAAGAATTTTAATCCTCCGCAATGATTCAGCTCATTTCCTGCTGCTGGAAAAACTGTAAGAGTTTTCAGAAAGACAATCTCTTCGTGTAGGTGTTTTCATTAAAGTTCATCCGTACTGTTGTAAAACGAAGTAGCGAAGCAAAAGACTGACTCCCTTTATTGATTGGTCTGAATTAAAAAATGAATCGTTTAAAATAATGTAGTTTAAATTTCTAAACTGTACTGTATCACTGGAGATTTCAGGGCATACATATTTTTAAAATAGAATCACTCAACATACCAAAATTAAAGCATTGTGAAATTTCTAATCATAAAAATGCACTGGAAAACTGGATGTCAGAATGTGTCTATAAACAGTATTAGGAACACCTTAATTAATTCTGGGTGCTAAAAAATCATGTGTAGGGATGTAGCATCAGGCTGGATGAAATCTCAGCCTGCAAAGAATATTATGCCTTGGTTTGCAGCTAACTTCAGCAAGTCATCGGTTATTCTCAGTACTGCACTTGCCATTTTATATCATGATAAAGTGAACCTCCGCCCCTCTCAGATGGTTTGCTTCATAGGTCAACCCCAAGAGAATTCTGTCCTTTCATTGTTTTGAGCTAAGAAATGATGATGATACTGGATTTTATGTCCCATTCTGAAATCTCTTCTCCAGGTGATGGCAGATGAAGTAGTACACATGTATGTTGTGATAAGGATGGAGTGAGGGGTTAGCAGAGCTCACCTGGGGGGTCCTCAAGTGGAACTGCGAGAGGAACAATTTAGGCTCTAATCCGGCATGTTCTCGCTTAAGACCCTCCTCAGGCCCATAGAAAAACACCATCATAATCTCTTTTTGGGTCAGTTGGCAATATATATTATTAATAAACTCTAAAATATTACCAGTACCTGAAGACAAATTTTAGCAGAAAACTATGTAGAACATTTAATCACTGTTTTTCATTCATGTTAAAATTATATATGTGTGTATATATTTATTAGAAAGATACCAACTTTCCAAGCAGTAGGAACTCTGACCACTAAGCCTGATCTAAGTTTACTTTGAGGACCTCAAGTATATAAGAATGGGACAGAGACAGCAGTAAAGGCTTTGACTTCAGACAAATGTGGGCTTATGGCCTAACTTTGTCACTTATTGAATTATATTGGCAAAATACCAAACCTTTGTCTTCATCATAAAATAGGGATTAGACACCAGTACTACAGGTAATGTGAAGGTCTTGGTCAGTGAACGATAGAGCTACCTTCTTATGAGGCTATAGAAGTGTGGGTATACTTGTCTGTGAAGTCTAATTTTTATTATCCTAAAAGACCTGTACTTCTCCCCTTTCCAGTTATCAGTGGCATTGTCCCCAACCTGCTATGGAAGGATGCTTAAATGCTATGATTACATTGTATGGAAAAAAAACCAAAAAACAAACCCTAAAAATCCAGCAAGCAATTCTTAAAGAAGAATAAAGCTGACCCTCTGGTACCATAATTAGTTTAGAATTCAGTGTTTTAAATTATCTGTACCCTTGAGAATCCATGAAAGGAAGCAAAGTGAGAGTAAGCACTGGCTCACAGAGGTGGGGAAAGACTGTGGGTTCACCGTGAAAACTTCAGAATGCACCACAAAGCAAGTCTAAAAAACTGACATACTACATACATCTCAACTCAACCAGTCATATATACCAAACTAAAGAAAAGTATGTAGATTTTTCCTTTGAAATCTGAGACACCAAGAGCCTTAAATCACAAATAATCTACTGTAGCTATGGACAGGGTAGTCAAATTTATTTCAAAACAAAAGCTTTGTTGGCTGCATCAAATGCAGGAGAAAAGGAATACTTATGGATATGGTTAAATTACCAGTGTGCATAACAGTGAGGTATGCCTCAAATAAGCCTTTAAAACTTTAAAAACTGAACTATAACATATCCATGCAGTAATATTTTTTTTCAGTGCTACTAATGAAAAATATTAAAGCCTGCACTGGAGATTTACAATATGGCAGAACTGTGTTGCTCCTACCTTTTGACCCTAATGTACAGATTTTATGACAGGGTCTGTGTTAAAAATCTAAACATTTTCACAAGATTTTAAACATCACTGGGAAGCTGAATTTAGAAGAAACAAAATCAGATAAAAGTACAATGCCTGTGACAGCCAACATTATGTAACGGGGCTGTATGAAGTTGTTTAGAAGGCTAGGGTTAAAAAGATAGATTTTAAAAAGTTACCCCTAAACGCGATGTGCTGATTTGAACATAAGTACACCAGATACTACAGCAAGGGGATACACTGCAAAAAGGTAATCTATTTACAGTACAGAAGAGTGATTTAAAGACATTATGGTTTTCTTTACAAACAGATATAAGGACAGGAATTGTCCACTTTTAAAAACTCTACATTTCAACCCTCCACTATTATTATAATCCACTGAATTGCCTGTATCAAAGGCAGTTTTTTGTTTTTTTCTTTTTTCCCATTTGACGCTCCAAATGAATTTCCATCATTTCTTCTTCATCCGTGGCCCTGGCTCTCCTGAAAAGTCTCGGGGCACAAGTCATAGGAGGGCAGGTTTTTGACCTGCAATTAAAAATAAAACCACCAAAAACTAGAGATCCCTCCCCAGCACCTTTCCCCGCCCCACCCCCCATCCCTTCTCTGTGCAGTTCAGTCATCACTATCCGACAGTGTTTCGTACTGTGCTGAGAGCAGTGGGGCAGGCTCTCGCTCCCAGATCCTGTTCTGTTGGTGAGGAGCTGCTTGGTTCACAGCAGAGGGGGCACATGCAATCGGTGTTGGTGGCGTACTGCTGAGCATCCGCATAGTCAGAGGATTATAAGGAAACTGAGTTGAGCCTGATGAAAGAAAAATGAGGTTTCACTGTCATGAGCATACTTGCTATTTCATCCAGTTCAACTTCTGCAGGATGGGGTAGGACAGGATTGTTCTACTAAAATGGTCAAGTGACACTACGAAAGCAAAATGAATACCACACAGAAGGGTCAAGTTTTCACTATTTAGAGTCTAGCCAATGACACACAGCAATTGGTGGGAGTCTAAAAAGTATGAATAACATGAGCGAGCACATGGGTGAGAACTGCTGAGCCCGGAAGAGAAAGTTCAGGGCTGGATTTTCAGTTAAATCTGTAACTGTCAGGTGTTGTCTTGCAGCATCCAAGTGGACCTTGTGAGCATTAAGTTGTAATTGAAAGAGTCTGTTACACCAAGAACTTTCTTAAAGAGAAATGGAGGAGTACAGTTCTCAGAAGACAAGTGGACAAGTACCCAGGAACTTAAGCAGGCTGAGGGGCAGCAGGGTGCATAGTGTCTGCTGAATCTTGCTGGGCAGATTTAGAAGTTTACAAGATTTAGAAGTGGGATACATTAACTAATAAGCACTGCTACCTTCTGTCAATGGCTAGATTGTTAATTGTCTCCAGAAAGCCTCCTACAGCTTAAGAAACTCTTAAAACATAACACATGCCATCATCTAACAAATAATTCCTTCCCTAAGAGAGATTTGAGAAGTGGCCATCATTGGTCTATGCCGTAAGTTTTCAAACAACCACTTTGCATGTAGCATGCATGATCATTTTATAAAGCAAAAGTCTTTTACTGATGTAATATAATATGATGTTTATATATGTCTTAAGGAGATCACATTTTCCATTTTTTTTTGTGTGCCATGTTTGTGTATTTAATCCATAAAGGATGCCTTATAATTCTCTGAAACCCTAAAGTCCACAGCAAACATCCCAGTTTTATTAAAAAAAAAAAAAAAAAGTCTGTTCCTTTTTAAAAACTACCATGATCACAGTTGTTATGTTCTTAAAAAGTTTACAAAAGGCACAAAATGGAAACCATAAATATTCTAGAGTACTCGTTTGTGTAGATGTAGTGAACCTAGAGAGATGATGGTTTTTTAAACTATTCTTCCCATTTCTGACTTTGATTTCTTAGTATTTCCCTAAGAACCTTCTCTAAGAATGTCTATATGAAAGGCTAAAGGGAAGTCACCTTAGGAGTAACATTTTACATTTAGGTACAATTCATGAAACAACTGAAAATACAGATTTAGTTGCTTTGCAAATAGCAAATGTTGGTTATTAGCATAATACAGAAGTAGGGGAATTTTTTCATAGCTCTTTGTTTATGGTAATCAGACCTTACATCCTTAAAATTTTTGAGATTATATTAATTTAATTTCTGTTCTGGAAGTGGAACCTATTAATGACACAGAAATGGGAATATAGTTTTCCAAACTATAAAAGTTTTTGATTTTATAAGATAGAAATAACCAAGGTATTGACATAAATTGCTTTAAGTCTCATTTTCTAGTAGTTCAACCTCCTCACCTGTTGATGAGGGCCTGTCTTCCCAGGCCCACCCTGGCGTCTGCCTGTGGTAATCCCCTTCTGAATGTACAGAGGAGACTGAAGAGGGCCGCTCAGTCCCTAAGTAGCCTTGCCCAGGTATAGGAGATTTAGATTTCCTGCTGTTTGACTTGCTGATGAGCTTTGGTTTGCAAACTCCTCCTAAAAGTGAAATTCAAGTTAAATTATTAATACATAGTATTTAAGTTCTCAATTTAAAAATCTATCAGAACACTGATGAGTATATAATGCTAAATGAAAAAAGCAGGAAG